TTTTGTTTCAGTAATACTGGCAATTGATATGTCATTATTAAGACAGTAGTCTTGCCAGGCTTCTCTTTTTGTTAGATCATTAAAGCCTCTAACATTGTGTGTTGCAATAGTTAGATTAAGATGATGAGAACTTGAGTTAGAAGAATGTAATGTGGAGTTATAATCAGTAGAAGTTGGGTAATTGTCATTAGAGAAAGGATCGGATAAAATGGGAGTAAAGCTAGGAGGATTAGATCTGAGAGGGAGTTTATAGAATAATGGAAGAAGATATGGAGCAATAATAATATGATCTGACAAAAGAGTGTCATTAGGAAGGTATATATGGGTTTCATTATAAGATGAATTAACAGAGATGAAGATGCAAACTTTGATAGGAATTAAATAATTATTTCATATAAAATGGTTTGGAGATTAAATTTTGAGTTATTAATTTTAAGAAAATGGTTTGTAGTTTTTTGTTTGGCAAGTGAATCTGCTTGGTTATAAAGGAAGTTTGTAGAGTGTAATTTTACTTTATAAAGAGTAGTAGTAATGTTTTTAAATTGTTTAAGATAGTTAATATAGTGAATAATGTCTCAGTTTTTAGTTTGTATAGGTTTGGAGTTAGTAGCTAAGTTGAGGTTTTTGAATGCAGTTGTATTGTTGATATAGATATTTAAAAGAATGTTAGAAGGAACTGTGAATAAGAGGGTAAGAATTGCCTTAAGTTTGATGTGAGTTGAGTCAGAGTAAGATTGTAAAGTTGCATTAAATTTTATAGATGTATTATATTTACAAATCCATCCTATACTATATTTAGTTTCTGGAGTTTATAAATTTTTGATTGAACCATCAGTATAGAAATGTAGTTTATCTGTGTTAAGTTGATTAGTTGCTTTTGATATGATGGTGTGTTGATAAATTGTTGAATAAGTTAAGCTTCATATGATAAAAGAATTATTTGTAGTTGTATTGATAGAGTTGATTGGATAATAGTAATGCTGAGTATTTGAGTTAGAGCTAAGATTTTTTTAAAATCAATTTGAATAGTCATTGAATCTTTTATTTGATAGCTGAGTTATAAGGTAGAAAGAATAAATGAAAATTTGGTGTTGGGTGGTTAGTAGTTGGTAGTAGTTGAGAGAATCCTGAAGTGAGCATAGAAATTTCAAATAATGATGGTTGTTGTAAAGAGGTTTGTTAAGAAATATATAGTGATTGGTTATTTGTATAATATATATGATAAAAGTAGTAAGAGTTTAAGGATGAAGGTGGTAATATTAGTTTAATTGTATTCAGAAAGGTATTAATAGAAGGAAGGTTTATGTAAAGCCAAGTTTGGGTTATAGTATTAGATTGGTTTAGATATAGAATTTGAGTAAACCATTTTGGCTGACAATCTTTATTAGGTTTATTTGTATGTAAGTAGATATTGTTCTATGAGAGAATATTTTTGTTATTTGCAGTTGTGATTTGTTTTAGAAAAATAATTTTATTATTTCTAAGACTATTGATAGTAGACATAAATGGGTTGACAAAAAGAATGTCAAAAATAGTATAAGTGTTTTTTGGTATTGATGATGAAAAGAGTATGATTTGTGAAATTATTGAGAGTAAGATTTCATTAAAGGCTAGTTGGGAAGATGAAAAAGTAAAGTGTAATTTTGTATTTTTTGATAGAGATTAGTTAAGATTTTTGATAAAAGTTGAAATGACCATATTTTGGTAAGCTATTTTTTAATTTATTAGATGCTTATATTTTTAAAAATTGGTAGTATGTTAAATATTTGTTCAGTATTAGCTGTATTGACTTTTTGAATAATGTTGTTAAAGGTTGGTAAATTAAAGGTGAGTGGATTAGTGAGAATTATATTGTTAGTGTTTTTTGCTAAGAAGAGCATTTTTTTGGTATGGATAGTAAAAAGGCAAGAAAATTTATTTTGTGTATTTGTATAAACTAGAATAATTTGAAGTAGGTATTCTAATGAAGGTTATAGAATTAAATTAAAAAGTAATGAAATTTGTAAAAATGTTATTTTTTTGTGTAGAATAAGAGTAAGGAAGCTTTCAATTTTGTTTTGAATTTGGTCAAGAGTTGGTTTAGAAAATTCTTGGCCATCATAAAAAATGCTAAGATATCGAATTACATCTTGTGGTTTTCTAGGTGTAATGTTTTGTTGATTCATTGAGAGAGTAGGAGTTGGATTTAATATGAATTTGGGTTTAATGTACAGGAGGTCTAATTTGGTGGTATTAATTTCTATATTGTTGAATTTGTATAATTCAAAGGTATCATTTATAATATTTTGCATTATATTTGTATTTTTACAATGTCAGGTTGTATCATTTATAAAAGCTAATAGTGAAATTGTTATTGGAAAGGATGTTGTATTTGTTATGATATCAATAAGGGATTGATATGAAATTTTTAATAAGTAGTTTTTGTATTTTTTTGAATAAAATAGAGTATAGGGTTATAGTAGATTTTCTATAAAAGAGATGAATATGTTTCATCTTGTTCAATTTCAGAATTAATTAGTATTTGTAAGGTAAGGCCATGAGCAGTAATTACTTTAGCAAATTGATAAGAGTGTAGTTCTGTGATTAGGTTGATTTCTGTTAATGGAATTCTTATTCTTTTACAAGTATCTTAAAGTCTTGTTATATTAATTTTATCAAAAGCCTTAAACATGTCTTGAAAGAGAATTCAGGCTTCTTTGTTAGTAGTTTTATAATATTCAATTGTAGTATGTAAAATTTGTATAGGATAATGTATAGAGGAGTTTTTTGAAGCTATGAAGTTTAGATTTGATAAAAGATTGTTATGAGAAATAATGTTATCTAATCGATTTGTAAATATTTTGGTCAAAGTTTTTTTGAAAAGTTCTATTATAGAAATTAGACAAACTTGATTTAATATGTAGTATCAATTTGATTTTTTGGGAATTAGAAAGATATTAAAAGATTTCCAGTCTGAGATGATTTTTTGAAGATAAAAACATTTATTTAGAAAAAGTTAAAAAATGTTTTATGCTTTGGAGCTAGCATATTTTATATGTTCATAACAGGTTTCTAAGAGACCTGCTGCTTTTTGATTAGGTAAGTTGAAGATAATATTTTGTTATTCTTGTTTAGTAATTTCATAAGATTTTGGTAATAGATTTCGAGTTCAGAATGTAGTTCATAGAGAGAATAGAAGTCAGATGTTAATGGAATAGTTTCAAAAGGTTTGGTTTTGAAGTATTTAGTAAAATAAAGTTTAATTGCATTTAGTATTTCATCATGTTCTGTGAGAAGGTTATTGTTAAGAAATAGTCTATCTATATAAATGTTATTATATTTTTCTAAAATTTTTTTATAGAAAAATTTAGGTGTTTCTTTGAAAAATTTGTTTTGTTCATCTATTTTTTCTTTAATTTCATCATAGATTAATTGTTGATATTGGTAGTTAAGTGCAGTTTTAATAGTTTGGAATTCTTCTTTAACTTGGATTAGTGAAGATGATGATGTTTGAAATATACAATCTGAATATTTGGTTTGATAGTTGGTGAGTAATGTATTAAAATTAATTGAGTTTATATAATCTTTAAGAAATTAGATTTCTTTGTAATAGAAATAAAGTGGTGAATGTTTTGGTGATGGGAAGTCATGAATTTCTTTAATTGTTTTAATTTTTTTGAAAGAAAAATGTTTAGTAGAGGCTTTGATTAATGCTTTGTGAATTTTATTTTATGTAGTATTAAGTTGGTTTTGATTAGAGATTGTAATGATTATTGAAGATAAATGTTGAAGATTTTTGGTAGTTTGTTCATTGTAGTTTTTAAGGTTTTCTTTAGTGCTGTTTTTCCAGAGAAAGACTTTATGTTTATATTGTTTATGAGGTTTAGGTTTATTAATTATAATGGAGATTTCAAAAATAATTATTTGATGATCAGATTTAATTGTACCAATAGGAAGGATTTTTGTGTAGTTGATATTAGTAATAGATAAGTTAGTCTATATTTGATCAATTTGACTTTATATATTATTTTAACTAAAAGTGAAGTTTGATGTATTAGGATAGAAGATGCGATAGATATTTTTAAATTAGAAGCTAATTAAGTATTGAATAATTTGGCTTTCTGGAATTAATGATTTTTTTAAAAAAGATTCATCAATTCTTGAATTTGGAACACTATTTATGTCACCTATAATAATTAATTTATATTTGTTATTTTGGATAAGAGAAATTAAGTAATCTAGGATTTCTTTACAAAATTGTTCTTTTCATAAGTTGGAAAATATATTTGAAGAAGTCTGATGGGTGTGTTTTTGAAGTAAAAGTCGAGTTCAATTATGTGTCCATTGTAATTATGAGATTTGGCAATATATTTAGAGATTTTTTTGTGTACAAATATGCCAACACCAGCTTGGTAAAGATTTGTATATGAGCTTCAGAAACTGGTATAATTTTGAATTTGGTTACTAAGGAATTTCCTTCTTTAGAAGACAAGTATGTTTCAGAGAGTCTAAATATTTCAAAGTTGTTTTCTTGTAATAATTCTATTAAGGAAAGTTTCTTGTTGAATTAAGAGAGACCATTTATGTTTATTGATCCAATTTTAATTAGTATAGAAGTATATTCAGGTATAATTATTGATAGAGTAGGAGAAGGTGTTGTAGAATTGTTTGAATAGATTGGTAGATTGGATGTAAAGAGATTAGTAAAGTTTTTGTTAGGAATTGTCCAATTAAAAGATATTAATAATAGTAAATAACTATATGTATTGTAAAAAGAAAGGTCTATTTCTGTATGATTAGGTAATATTTGGTCTATAGTTTTTAAGTAAATGTATGATTCTGTTTTTTTGAAGTTTATAAATATTTTTATTGAATTGAAAAAGTTATTTAAATGTAAATGTTGAATGAATTTTTTGAGTAAAACAGGTTCAGTAATTTGAAGTAGGTTATATTGATTTAAGAATTTAGTATGGCATTTGTCTATCTCAGTAGAAGATGAAGTATTGGAGGTAGAGATAGTATTTTTAATGTCTTTTACAGAATCACTTACCATTTTAAGCTTGGCTTGCACAGCTGTGAAGGATATCATAACCTGCCTAGTATATTGAGTCTGGTTAACATAATCTTGGTCCTTTACTACAATAGGCTTTACTGCCCACCTACTATCATTATTCTCTTCTAAGAATAGCCTACTAATAGTGGAGAACATTATAATCATAGAAGCGACAGTTGCTTTAATGTTTTCTGTAAAAAAACTTATTGAAAAGAAGTTTCTTGGTTTTGTGTAAGATTGTTGACTGTTTCTTTTTGAGAAGTGGAGTCATCAGAATTATTATTCTAAGTAGTAAATAAAGTTGGATTTTCTTTTTCAGTATCAGGTTTATTTTGGTTTTGCATGAAGAGCATGTCATTGTATTGAGTAGGAATTGAGATGTTGATATGTTTGATTATAAAATTTTCTGCTTCTGGATAGTAGTTTTGTCATAGTCAATTCTAGTTTGTTTAAGAAAGACTTTAAATTAGAATCAGTTTTGTAGTAGGTAATTATACGAGCTAGAGTATGTGTATCAGTAGTCAAGTCTATGATTTTTTCAAAAGCTTTCTCTTTAGATAACTCTTGAATTCCATCATTTTTAGCTGCTATATGTAAATATTTTTTTAAGTATTGATAGAAATAGTAAGTTGTTTGGGCTACTTTACTATTAACATTGTTAAGTGATGCAAAGCTTTTTTTAGTAGATATAGTTAATTTTCTTAATTTAGTTATGGGTATTGGCTTTGCGAAGGTTGCTGCTAGTTATTGATCAGGTTGAAATAATTTAGTTTCTAAAGGAAGGTGTTCCTATTCTTTTGAATTAGATTCTAGTACTGGATGAGATTTGAATAATTGAGAGAAGTAAAATTTAGAAATATTTTTAAGCTTGTGTTCTGTATTATCTGGGAGTAAGTTGCATGATTTGCTATGACATTTATAGAAGTGATGAAGTGCTGCTTTGAAAATAACTTTAGAGCATTCTTGGAATGAAGATAAGATATTTGGAAGAGAATAAGTTTCTGATAAAAGTTCTTTGCAGTCTTCAACAAGCTTTTGAGATATTAACATTTTGATGTAGTTGCTTGTTTTTTGTTGATCAATTTTTTTAAATTGAATTTTGTATTTATCGAAAAATTTTTAGAACCAGGTTTTGTAAATTTGGATATGAGGTTTAAGTGAAGAAATTTTGAAGTCAACTTCAAATTTTTTAGCAAGAATGTTTAATGTGACTTTAATATTGAATCTATTGTTATTTTAAATATCAAATAGTAGCTTATCTGCAGTATAATCTATGTTAAAATTTAAAGTAAAGTGTAAAGATTTGATGTTGAGTTTTTCTATGAATTTTTCAAAGTTGATAGTTTTGTAAGTATGATTTAGGTATAAGTGTAAGCATGTTATATTAATGGCAACTTTTTTTTTGTTGTTTGTTGAGTATGATGGAATGGAATAATGTAATCAAAAAATGTGTATATAGTTCAGTTGAGTAAAAAGTACTGTTGTAAATTTTGCAACTAGGCCTTTAAGAGTTTCAACTAAGACTTTAAAAGAAATAGAGTTAGATTGGCCAAACTCAGAATTGACTTTGAGAATGAAGTCAGTTAAAAACTTAAGTTTGCTATTAGCTATTTTGTTAAGTATATAGTTAAATGAGTATTTAGCAGAGAGTCTATTGTTAAGTTTTGAATTAGTTGGATCAATAGGAATTTCTTGTTCAAGATTAAAATTTACAAGATATGATTTTAGAAGTGAAAAAACTTTTAAGGCTTATGGTGTGCTTAATTTACTATATTGTTGCATTTCAGGTGTAATAGGATAATTCAAGAATTAGTCAAAATTATTTGTTGTATCATATTTTTGTGTAGATTTTTTTTCTTTTTCTTTTTGTTTGTCTTTTTGTTTTAGATTATTATTTTGGTTTTTTTGTGTTTTGTTGTTTTTAGTTTGATCATTATCCTTAGATTTATTTATAGTTCTGGTTTTTTTAAGTAGTTTTTAGAGAAATTTCTTAAAAAATATATGTTTATCTTTAGCTAATAATTGGTAGCATTTGATTTTACAATATAAATTGTGTTGTTCCTAGTTCATGTTGTTGAGGGAGTTAAGTATTTAAGTTTGAGAAGATAAATGCATTGTGCATAAGCAGGAAAGCTTCCTTTACCAGTTACAAAAGTCAGAGCTTGTAGATTAAGTAAGTGTTTGTTATCTTTAAAAATAATGCATGGTATATTCTTGATTTTACATATAATGCATATATGTGCATGATGAGAGAATGGTTTGAAAAGGATAGAATTTGTAGAAGTTTTCCTAATATCACTACATAAGGTAGGAAATAAGTGAGTAATTTCATGTTTTGGTTGAAATTTGGATCTTGAGAGACTTTTTAGAGATTTGAAGAGTTTTATATTAAAGTCAATTTCTATAGAGTTAGATGCATTGGAAGTGTTTTTAGAAGTTGGTTGGGAATTTGCTGAAATAGTAATATGTTGTGAAGCAAAGTAGGTATGATATTTTTTACAATAACAGGTAGTAATGACAGGTCCAGTAGATTTTACGAAAAAATAAAAGTTGTTTTGGAGGTCATATGTTTTAGAATTAAAATTGATAGGTAGGACTTTAAGAGCATAAATGTTGCTATCATGAATAACAGTACCAAAACTGTTACTATGTTTGGCAATATAATTATTAAGATCAAAAGAATCAGATTCACAGTATTAATGCTTGGCATTATATGTAACTATCTTTAAAGATAATGTTTATAAAATTTAAATAATACAAATTATTTGTATAATATTGTTTATGAGAAAAATTTCTTAATTATCTAGACTTTTAGACTATTTAGAAGCGATCTGTGAAGTGTAGTATATTTGTAAAAGCTAATTGGATGTTTAGGAAACTTTAATGGATACCAGAAAAGTGAAAAATCTGGAGCAACCTAGCAGTTTTTTCTAAAGTGCCAATGAAAAAACCTGCAAAAACAGGTTTTAGTTTTCATCTTTTTGTTTGTATCTTAGTGAGTTTGGTTTGTTTATAATAAATTATATATCAAAATGACCAAAACAGAAAGCTTGTTCTTTTTCTAATAGGTAACAAGATATATTTAATTAGTAAAATATATAGTAAATAAGCAAAACTCAAAATTTTGGTTTTTAGAACTTTTCTCAAAAGCCAGATGTTGTAGAAACCAAAACTTGTCACCTAGGAGGAGAAAAATCAGCTCAACAACTTTACTTAAGAGTGTAGACAAAGTTTACTTAAGAAAATTTTGAGAAATAATTAAATGTTTTTAGCAAAATTTTGATACAAGTGATCTATAAAGAGAGTTACAGAATTGGTCCTCCAATAAGTTTTTATTAATAAACTGATTATAAGATTTTAGTGTAAATTAATAAAATATTAATTGAGAAATGATACTATAGTTATACAAAAAATGTGTAAGGAAAAAAGAAAATAGGGTATAGCTAGAAAGTAAGAAAAAGGATTTGCAAAAGAGTAAAAAGTAAATTTAGCTGTAGTTTAGCCAATATTGGTCAAAATTCTTCTGTTAGAGCTTATTTTGACTGAACAAATATGTATTATAATTTTAATTAAGGGTATAAGACAAGTTATTATAGTAGAAACTATGAGTGAGTTTTTTAAAACTGAAGGCCAAAGGCCATTAATACAGTTTTTTCTGTGAGTTTAAGAACTAGATCTGTAATATTTTTAGAATATATATAAATTACTGAGCTGAACAAGTTTGCTTAAGACATCAGAACAGATTATCTAGTAAAATAAAAGGTTATAAGTATTTTTAGCCAGACAGTTTTTTAGTTAATTTTTGTGCAATGGATTTGTAAAAAGAGTTTTTTTTTTTTTAGAAACAATTTTACTTAAATATCCAAAAGTAGTTAATTTAATAAAATATTAAGTAAAAGTCAAATGTTTGCAGTAGAAATTTGGTACAAGTGTCATCAAAATGAGTTCCCCTATTTATATATATCTGGATGCCTCTTTTGAAAACCTCTTATTAACACAACAAACTTTTATAAACATAGAAACATATATTAATTTTGTTAATTACTTTAAGCAGTTTAAGTTTTCACTATATATTATTAAAAAGATAATAAAGCATTTAATCTGTCATTAACTTGTTAGAGATGGATTATTATATAAAAATAATCTATATGATCTATGATGGCCTTTAATAGTACTAAGACCTTATAAAACAGAGACTGTATTATATACAATGTATTTAGACTCTTTAGCAGAGTATTTTAAAAAGACTGCTACTTATCAAAGAGTTATGGTTATTACTTTTGACCTCAGATAGGTAATGATATAAAATAATATGTAGAGTCATATGACTCTTGCCAATGCAAAGGGTAACTTAAAACCCAAGAGCTCTTCTATCTGTTTAGAATTGGTCAGCCCTTTGATTAAATAGAAATAGATATTGTTGGCACCTTTCTTGTAATCTTGGATGGCAAGAAATTTATTATTGTAGTTACTAAATATCTTACTAAGTGGTCTGAAGCATGTGTATTAGAATGAGCTAATACCAAATCTGTAACAACTTTTATTTTTAAAAATATTATTTGTTATTATAGCAACTTCTATGAATTATTGTCAAATTAGAAAACACATTTCTGTAATAAATTAGTAAGTTTTCTATATAAGAAAATAAAAACCTATTATAAAACTTGATAGCTTAGCACTTTTAGACTAATGAATTGATAAAACAATTTAATAAAACTCTTTGTAAAGTTTTAGCATGATGTGTAGTGCAATATAACAAAGAATAGAACAAATTTATTTCTGTAGCCTTGTTTGCTTATAGAATAACTTACCACAATATGATCTAATATGAGCCTTTCTATCCAATGTATAGATGAAATGCAATACTTCTTGTTGAAACTGAAGTTTCAATATTTTCTTTGAGCCTGTTACAGAAGTAGATTTTCAAGATTAGATCTTTAGAAGAATTGAGGTGCTACTTAGAGAATTAACACTAGCTAGACAACAAATGCAAATCAATATTAGAAATTCTTAACAAAAACAGAAGGACTCATATAATTAAAGTATAAAATAGAAACTTACCAGATTGAAGACAAGGTTTTGCTGCATGAAACCTTCTTGAAAACATTGCATAGCACTAAGTTTAAAAAATGATTTATAGGACCTTATTACATTTATTATATATTTGATAATAGAATGTACAAACTAAAAAGTATTTATGCCAGTATAAACAAACAAAAATCAATTAAAAAGGTTCTTAAAAAGACTATACATAGTAACTGATTAAAATGA